TGTCTTCTCTGACAATAACATCTCTGACTTTCTGGAAATGAAAAAAACAACCTATCTAGTGTGGCTGCCCATGTGCTCCCTTTGGGGAAGCAACCTGGCAGCATCAGGAGTGGAACTGCTGGGCTCCAGCTTAGCACAGCTCCCTCTTTACCATCTTACTCACATTCCAGGAAGCGCCATGTTTATTTGCTATTACCGGTTTGGCAGCAGGCAGTTGCTTGAGCAGTTCATCTTGGATCTCTCCCCGTTTCCTGCTGCATTCATTTTCCTTCCCTAGGACATTTTCTTCCGGGGTGTGTCCTAGCTCCTGGAGGAGATCTTCTCCTTGAAAGAAGAAAAGCACTCAGGAATAGCTCTGGTTGGAAGGGATAGCTGGGGATCTCTGCTCCATCTCCTGCTCAAAGCAGGGTGACGTCAGAGCTGGCTCAGGCTGCTCAGGGCCTTGTTCTGTCACATTTTTTAGCTTTTCCAAGGATGCACAACTTAACAGTTTAACTCGTTCTAATGTTTGACCAGACTCCACCTAATGCTGTTTCTTTTATGTCCAGCTCCCATTTCCCTTGCTGCAACATTGTGCTTTCACTGTGCTCCTTTGAGTCTGGCTCTAGCTTCTCTATATCTCTTCTATTAGGAAGTAGAAGAAATGTATGAACAGAAAAAAACCCAAGCCTGCTTATAGAAGTCCCAGTTGCCTCTACAAATCCACGCTTCCCATGGAGTGCTCCTGAAAGGGAGGTGAAACCTCAGGGCAAGCTTATTGTGTGACACTGCTGTTCTGCTCACAGGTCCCCGCTGGATTGCTGTACCAGGAGAACTTCGGGGGTATGAAGCAGCCCATAAGCGATACGGCCGCTTACCATGGAAAGCCCTGTTTGAACCAACTATCAAGGTTCTTTCAGAGCCACTTGTCATTTCCCCAGTTATGGAGAAAATTATTCATCACCCAGCATTTGCCAGTCCAGGAAAAAGCCTGTGGTAAGATCCGTGAATTAAATTGCAGTGTGACGACCTCTGTTCCCTCAGCATCAGATCCTTCCTCTGGCATGATGGTATTCACCGAGCTCCAGCACAGGCTGCTGCTCAGTGAATACTTGTTATGCGGAGGGAGGGCAAAGAACTCAGTTTCTAAAAGCCGACATCATTGGGTAAGAAAAAGAGATGGGTGCTGAGGACAGAGTTAGCACATGCTGAAAACTGATGGATGTTTTCCTTTAACAGCCCGCTACTTTGTGATGGTCAGAGGTTTTTGAAGCGTGGAGAGACTTTCAGGTGGCCAGCGCTGCAGCAAACATTGAAGGCTGTAGCAGAAAACGGAGCTACAGCATTTTATGAGGGACAGATAGGAAAGGCCCTGGTGGAGGACATTAGGAAAGCTGGTAGGTACCAGATGTAGTTCATACTAACAGGCAAGCAACTGGCTGACAGTGAGTCAGTATAAGGGGAGAGCCAACACATGCCATTCACTTGCCACTTGGGGTGGTAGCTGGCAGGGGAAAGGGCTACCTTTCCCCAGTTCTTACAAAACTTGGGCCTAGAGGAAGGGCTAAAAGCTACTCCTCTGGCATTCACCCACAGTGTTCATGCACTGGCCTCTCCAACTTCGGCTTTGTGATGTCCTGGAATTTGGTAGTAGGTGAAGATATTGCTGTGCTTGGTGGAAGTTATTTTGGAGCATACAGGGATGGTTCTTTACAAGCTTTAACCAAGGCTCTGGTGTAGGCAGCTCATAGTAAGTAGATGGCAGAAGATAATGTACCCATCTGGTTTTCTGTTGAAGGGTCCAATATTTCGCTAGAGGACCTTCAGGCATACAAAGCAGAGGTGTCCTCAGCTCTGAATATTACCCTGAACAATCACACCACAGTGTTTTCTCCTGGACCACCCATGGGAGGTGCTGTGCTCATGTTCATCCTCAAGATACTGGAAGGTAAAGTCGTAAGGGAAAAGGAAAAAAAGGGTTTGCAAAGTGTTGCTCTAGAGCAAAGTCTTGGGCAAAAATGGAGCTGGTGAGCGATGATGGGTGCCAAACCAGGAGCATGACCATGCTGTATGGTGGGATGAGGAACTGGATCATTTTTACCATGTATCATCACATCACCACAGGTGCTGCAAAGGCCAGAGGATACACAATTTTTTGAAAGCTTCAAGAAGAATGAAGTCGTAGCAGAAATCAGTACTAGGTTTGTTCTGTATCCGCATAGAGAACACTTGATAAGACCTGGGATGGCAAAAGGCAGTTCCTTTCAATTTTCTCTTTTACTTCTTAAAAAAACACATTGCTTTGAATCTAACAAAATTGTTTCATCCTGCTCTATAGAGTATAAACTCCATGAAGCATCACTGGCAACGCCCGAGGAGAGGGTGGAAACCTATCACCGCATCGCAGAGGCCTTGAAGTTTGGCAATATGCTAAAACCCACCATGCGTGACCCAGCCTTTTCTGAAGCTCAGGTAAGGTGGCATGGTACAAAGGGGCAGCCAGACACCCACAGCACTGACAGCTTCCTCTGCGCTGCTTGCTTTACAGAGAAGGAGGAGGGCATTCCCATCTCCTGCTTTCTTGATTTAAACCTGCGTCGTCGCCACCAACTCATTTTAGCTTATGTGCTTAGACTTCAGGCAGGCTGCCTACCCTGCCAGCACATGGTACCAAGCAGTGTGCTAACACTCACCTGCTTTGCAGACACAGAAGGAAAGAAACTACTCAGAACTGCTAGTCAAGAGCACTGCAGCTCAGTTGGTGAAGGCAGAGGCAGGATTAGGCCATTTACTCTGCCTGCAGTTCCTGTTCAGCTGTAGCTAGAGCTCACTTGCCTGATAAGGGATGTGCACATGCTCTTGCCAATGTTGATGTGCCTCAGTACTGAGCTTGTTTTGTTTTCTGTGCTGAGAGTAAGCCTGGGGATTCAGGCTGGGGCTGAATACTTCAGGTCCCCAAGCTCTGACTATTGGGGCTGACTGCTCCAGGCTTCCCTAAGCCTCAAGACAGACATGCCTGTCCTTTGGTGACTCTGTGTCCTTGCTGTCATTGCAGGAGACTGTGGGGCCCATGCTGTCTGACGAGCTTGCTGAGCTTGCCAGACACCGAATAGATGCCCGTGGTGACCACCCACTCGCCCATTACAACTTGCTGGAGCCCATCTACAGCCACAGATACAAAAGTAAGGGCACGAGTCACGTCTCTGTCCTTGCTGCGGATGGCAGTGCCGTGTCCGCCACCAGCACCATCAACTACCCGTGAGTAGCCATTACCTCCACGCGGTAACAAGTTGCTGAGCTCTGCTGAGGTTCCGTGGGTTGGGCAAATTCCCACATGCACTAGTGACAGGGAGCTCATTTCTGGGACCAGCACAGCAGCACCTTTTGGACACCCCAGCTGGGGCAATTGTGGCATGGGAAGAGACAGTGGTAACTCACAGGGCACCATGGGTCAGTTCATGTCATCCACAACAGCAGAGCACCCCGCACTGAAAGGCTTCATCTCCCCCTGCAGGTTTGGCTCTTTTGTGTATTCAAACCGAACTGGGATCATTCTGAACAATGAACTTGCTGATTTCTGCATAGCAAACAGAAGCATTCATCCAGGTGAGTGTTATCACCCCCAAAATAAAACACAAGGGGAGGAAATGGGTGTGCAGGCCTTGTATCCCTGGTGCAGGCTGTGTATCCCCTGGGTCTGCCAAGAGAGAGGACGTCAACACTGATGGCAGGATTGCTGGTAATGGTTCCTCAGCTGTGTTGAATGAGCTGCAGCAAGACCTGAATACTTGTGGGATGCCCTGTCCTGTACCAAGTGATGCTTCCTATTTAAGCCTGTGCCATTACGGTACAGTTTCTGTGAGATGGGGGTCTCGGCACAAGGACACTAGCTTCTCTGAAAGACTTGAGCTTCTTGAGGAACGAGCAGCAGCTTGGTTTTCCTCCAGAAATGCAAGAAGGGTGGGGTAGCTAAACTTGTGTGTCTCTCCAACCGCCTTAAGAGCCTCTTCTGCTCTAGGAGAGAAGCCTCCCTCAGCAATGGTGCCTTCCATTCTCATCTCCAAGACAGGAGACATGCTGGTGATTGGAGGAGCAGGTGGAGCCTGGATTATCAGTGCTACTAGTATGGTGAGTGAACAGGTACCGTAGAGGAACACCTTCCACTGTGCATGGGGAGCACAACCTGTCCTGAACAAAAGGAATTACTTTGCTGCTGCTAGTTTTGTTACGTGGAAGGTGGCAGTGAAGAGGGCCTGCTGCAGATTCAGCCTGTCCAGACCTTCTTGCCTTTAGCATTTCTGTGGTAAGAGCAGGGGCTTCAGCTGAATTACACTCCCACCAGGAGGGAACAGGAATGGAGGAAGTGAGAGAACCCACAGCAGTCACCTGTTCTTTCAGCCCTCCCAGCTTTCCAGCCGTGGTCAGTCCCACCTGCTCTTTCTAATCAGCTCTCCTCAGGTCTTGATTCCTTGGTGCTTTGTTTTATTTGCAATTTAGAAGTTACTAAAGGCTGCAGGTTGGGGGTCGGAGTAAGTGCCAGCTGCCTCGCTCAATTCTTTTTGAAAAGGGAAGAAGTTAGAATAATTAAATAGGAGGTTAAGGAAGTTATTAGGAAGAGAGGTATTGGCCAAAACCTTTGGGCCCAGAAATAAACTGATTCATTCATGTGATGGAAAGAACAACAAAAACCCACCACACATACACGCAGAATAAAAAAAAAAAATCTTAAAGAGCTTGTTTAAAGCCTGAAGTCTAAATCAAGAAAACACAGGTAAAGCCACAAGAGGAAAAAGAGAAGTGTTCTTACTTCCACTTTCTTAAACTGGAGAGAAGCAGGAGAAGGAGTCCATGCTAGGACCTGAGCTGAATACAGAAAGAACAACTGTCAATATAAAGATCCATCAGTAGCTATTGAATTCAAGGCCATCACTTTGGCTCAGGGAAAGCATTCTGGGAAATACCATTATGTGCTCACCCTGTTCTTACTCTAGCAGGATTCCTGGTCTGATTCAGTGCAGCCCCTCTTACAGCCCAGTTTTGCCCCATCCTGCAGTCAGGATTTACACTAGAGCTGGTCTGACCCAACACCAGTGCAGAGGCTGGCAGAATGTGACCCAGGTTTTTATTCAGTACCCTCAGTCTCAGGGTTAGATTTGTTGCCTTGCAGGCGATTATAAACAAGCTGTGGTTTGGCTACGACTTGGAACATGCCATTTCAGCTCCCACCATACATACGGAAGGTGACAGTATCCTGTTTGAGGACAGTTTCAGTGAGGTGAGTGGCCTTGTTTGGATCTTCTTCTCCTTCTGGTGAGAAGGGCACTGGTTCTGTAGCTCTCCTGAAAAAAACTTGTTGCGTAAATCTCACTTTCTCAACCTGACCCCTCATACACATCCTTCATTTTCACACCTGGCAATGCTAAGATCTCAGGCCTCTGCACTATTCACTCCATTTCTTCTTCTCTCCCCCTTACAGGAGGTTAGAAGAGGCCTGCTGGGAAGAGGACATAAAGAAAAAAAAGTTAAGTTTGCAATGAATGTTGTGCAGGGAATTTCCAAAGAAGGAAAATGCATCTCTGCTTACTCTGATAAAAGGAAGCTGGGGAAGTCAGCTGGATATTAGGATGAAATGCCATCACAACTCACAAAACCACAGGAGGTAACTAGATTCCGAATGTACTTTGGCTTGGACATGACAGTGTTGCCTGTTCCCATGAGGATGCCTCCGAGAGCATGAGTAAAACTTGTGCTTACACCCAATTCCAGTAGAATGCAAGTCACCCTCAGGCAATACAACAGGTCAGCTGAATAAAACAGCTGGCTGTCTAGAGCTACATCCTCCCTTATCTGATATACAGAAAAACGTATTTCTTGAATGCGTCACCTATTCAGAGAAAGATAATACAAAATGGGAAAGGAAAACTGGTCCAAACCCCACTGGGAACAATGGGATGGCCCAGATGTGTCTTCCGTTCCTGCTGGAGAGTCCTACTTAAGGGTAGAATTGGTTTCTTTCAGGCTGTTGCCACAATATGCTCATTATTATTATTGAGACTCAGCAATGTGAAGTAACTATTCTGCTTATGAAGCTTAGAAGCAGTGTCTGTATGGTAAGAATTGTAAAATCTTAAGCAAGTGTCCAGACTTAGAAGGTGGGTTTGGAAAGGGAATTAAGAGCGTAAACTCCACTCCCTCTGGTTTCCTACCCAAAGAAACCCTATTTTTCCCAAAGGGGGCAGATGGAGGAAAAAAAACAACCTCCCCAGAGCTTTTCTCAAATACCAGGGTCAAGTTCCCATGATCCCCAAACCCATTTTTCTGAACACTGATGAGCTGTACTTCCCTATGTGCACAGACAATATTGTACATGTCTTTCTGAAAATGAAGCCAAACCAGAGCAAGGCACTAGCTCAGCCCTCCCTTGTGTATTTTAGTTCTTATCTCACAGATAGCCCATGATGTTCCTAGCACCCAAAAAACCAAAATTCCTCTGTAAAAGCCATAACAAGTATTTGTGCATATGCTACTAAAAATAAAAAACAAACCCAAACAAAAAGGCCATCCACACACCCACTTGCAAAAAAGGCCAGATAGGTTTAAAGTCTGTGTTCTTACCCACAAAGTCTGTCCAATAGCGCCATCGACTTGTTGGAATCTCAGCCTTCACTTGCCCTTTAATGCTCTGAGTCAAGTTGACTAGAGCCAGACAAGTGTTTTCCTTCAGAAATTGTACACTAAGAACTATAGCGTGACAGCAGCTGTAGGACAGGGGCTTCTGGTGTATGAGCCTAATGAGAGGGGATTCTGAGCTGCCAGATCATACCTGCAAGCACTTTATCATGCATCTGAAAGATAAGTTTCTTATGCAGAGAGCCAGCTCCATGCACTGCCCCCTCCTTCCTCATCCCAGTGGAATTTACCTTAAATCCCCTCATTCAGGAAGGACTGCTGGTTTCTCTAGTAGCGCTGCTCACTGAAGCCATAGAAGTGGCATAACACCTTGTTAGTCGACATTAAAGTGCAGCTGAATGTGAATGGGGCAAGGGAAAAAGCCTCAAGTTTGCAGGGGGGACAGTTTATAATTCTTTTGGAAGGGGTTCCTTTGGGGTTTTTTGACAGTCACATTCAATCTACATAATTTGCTGAAGTTTTCTACTGTCGATAACTCCTTCCTTTACTTCAGCTACCAGTTCCTGGTTCTCATGTCCGAAATAACTGCCTGTGGGGTGCACTTATGACACTAAACACCATCTGCAGCTCACATTTCAGGGGCACACAGGTTAAAAAGACTAGATGCTGGCTTTAGCGAGATCTGTACTTATTTCTGGCCAGCCCAACTGAGCTAGAGTTTACAAAATCCAACCAAGAATGCACTGGCTGCAGACAAGTAGAGCAGCTCTCGCTTCCATTTTAAGCTCTGGGCAGCCCTAGGCTATGCTCCATCACGTTTGGATAGCTGAAAAAAACAAGTCACCGAGTAACTAAACCTCCAATTACATAGCGTTTTGATTACTTCTGTAATCCAGCCCATCACGTTGCCAGTGCAGTAATATCACAGCTGCTTCCCACCACGAAAATGTGGGAATATTATCTGTAGTCCAGAGCTCACTGCAATTTGACCGCTTTGCTGCTCTTAACACTGAAACTGAACCAGTTAAGCTGTTTAGAAAAACACCAGAGCTTTAATTTGCAAGACAGAAAGGAATGAGATTGCAGATCTCCCACTGCAGCAGTCCTGTAGTCCTCACCAACAAACATCTGTTGCAGCTGAGGTGCACCTCCCATAGGATCTCTGCTCTCACTCTGCCACCTCCTCACCACTGCTGAGATCTGCTTGCGTCTCGAGCCTCCGACTCTGGTGTCTCCCCATTCATGCTCATGTCAACAGGAGAGAATTACTTTTGTACTTAGTCAACTTAAAACATCGCTGTACAGAAGCTGCTCTATTTTCTGATGAAGTCTTTAAATTATAATTTTAATAAAATGGTTTGAACCAGTCTGGGAATTTCTCTTCAAACTGTTGCTTACCCTGACACACAAGCAGCTCTTTGAGAAAGGACTGTGAAGCAGATGTTTCCAGCACTAAGAGTTGTTCATTCTGGAGATTCAGTGCTCTCAGTTCAGTGATGAAAGGTTACAGGATTGCTCCCAAACCACTTCTCATTCTTAAAGGAACAAAATGACTTTAGGTTATTCACAACCACTGCCTTCGCTGCATCTTCGCAACACACTGTCGTCAGTAACAGCTTAGCAAAAAGGAGCACAGAGCACGTCCCTGGCCACCTGTGGTAAAAGCCTCTCATTTACTGGAAGTGATAGAAGCAAATATGCGTGTTAAAGTTATGATTCTTTAAGCATGATTCTTTAAGCTGCTACAAGCAGCTATATATATCAGTTAGATATAGTTAGATATATACATTTATACATACAGCAGTTTTATGTATCAGCTTATAGCAGTTATTGCTACTTATAAACATGCCTAGAGCTTGACAACATCCTGGAATATTTGGCTTTTATTTTAGGCTGAGTATTAGTCCATGTTGGTGGGGGTCCTCCTGCATAGTTACAAACATTCTTAGCTGTTCCATACCGGATATGGATTTCTGGGAGGTCATTCACTGTCTAATTAGTGGAAATTTACCTTCAAAGCTATCCTTAGCTGCAGGGTGCCCTTCTCTAGAGGTTTCATTTCCTCTGGTGTTTCAGGCCTGCAGTATGATGTGGTAAAAAGCAAACCGGGGGGAAAAAACGATCTTGTTTTGGATAATTAACTTTTTTGCTTCATCTTTTCATCAGAGGAGTGAAGAACAGAGAAATACCTCAGGAGAGCTTCTTTCACACAGACTCGCACCATCGCTGTTCGCAGTAGCAGCTGCGCAGGCAAGAAAAATGTGTGACTCCATGTTTATTTATTTAGTTGTGCTCAGAGTTTTACAGGTAGCATCTTCCCTTTCGACCTTCTCAACAGAAATATAAAAAAGTTTGAAGCCATTTCCCCACTTACACACTCATTTCCAACAGCCAACCGAAGTGAAAAGCAAGAAACATCTTTAGTTAAAAGAAAGAGCAGTGAGATTGTGTAGGTTGATCCCGGTCTAGAGCTGGGCTTCTTGCTAAGGCACAGATCTATTAGTTTGTAACTTAAAAAAATCCAGTCCCCAGAGTCCTGTAATTCCCATCTACTCAACAGGAAACAACTGTCTTCTCTAGCAGTGACAGGGACTTTCCTGGTAGCTGACACTGTGCAGGGGAAACACTTCCTGCAGCTTGAGTGAGCTTCTTCAGAAACTCTGTGTACCCAGCTCATGGGTTGAAAAGAGGGAGCAAACTCTTCAAGGCAGATCAGTCTCTTGAAGTAAGTACTGCACGTCCTGGTATGACATGCCTGCCTTAGCAGACTGGTGTGGCATGAGGCACTACTGTCATGGCTGTAGAGAACTGTCCCAGCTCTGTCAACAGAACTACAAGTAAATTTGTTCTTTTCTGTGAGAAGTCCCTGAGTTGTAGACCTAAAGCATCTTCCCCCAAACACACCTCAGCGTCACTGGACCACTGAAAAAAGGAGCCGAGCCACATCAGTAGCCTGCAGGGAAGCCACCTTTCCGGGAATCAGAGGCTGCAGCCCATCCTTCCTCTGTTCTGAGAATGGCTTGCACAACCGCACCACCGCTCACCCACGTGGTGTTGTGTTTCCTCTTCCTTAATTCTTCTTCTATACCCTGGAATGCAGAAGTGAATGAGCACAACAGGAGAGGAGCTGCACATGCGCTGCAACCTGCATCTTCCGTGACTACCCACATGCCTGTATTAGGTGGGTCTAAAGCTAACAGGCTGTTCCTTCTCTTCACTGGGCTGCCCTGCTTTTGAGGAGGTGGAATTGGGAAGATGTGGCAGTTGTGGCGCTTACGTGAGCTACCAATACTGTTCCTGGTCATGGAGCATTCTGCCTTAGATACACACATACAAACAGCCAAAGCTGATTGATCCTGTTTGGGAATGGGGAAAACACAGGACTTGTATAGAGCAGGGCATCTTCCCCAGTGCAGGCAGTTATCTCAGCTGCTACCTTAGTAAGACACTTATTAAACGAGGATCTTCTGTATAGTTTGATGAAGGAAACTGACTTATGTAAGAGTGATTTTTCTAATACAGAGACATAGGATGAGATATATACAAAGTCTGAGGCCTCTGGGACATTAAATTCCTGCGGGTGAAGGAAGCTGCCAGCTGAGGCAAGAGGTATGCAGAGCTAGGCAGATTTTGAAACCTGCTCTCACACTGACAGTGCTGCACAGTCACTTTTGCTGGGAAAAGATTTCCAAGTTTGTTCTCGGGTCTTTCTGTGCATCCTTCAGGAAGCCAATGCTTCAGGAGCCATCGGGAGGTTGTGCAATAGTACAAGCATTTCCCCAGGGTCACTGGATTTAGACTGCTGAATGGTTGGGGCCCTGATGTGGTTGTCTATTTTGCAAGTTCTTTGAGCTAAAGACAACGCAAAAAACAAAAACAACCAAACCAAACTCTCATTTTCAGATGCAGGTCATGTTTGAATGCCCCCCCTCAAACCCATGGAACTTCGTGATTTTCCACAAGCGCATGTCTTCCCAAACCTGGGAATCCAGC